TTATTTTTAGTTTTATGAACTGACAGGTCTAATTATGTAAACTATTACGACACTAAGGCAGCAAAGGCTGAATCTGTCGACAATGGTAAAGGTGAGGCCAAAAAGAATCTTGGGGATACCGTGTGGTATGGTCGTCCTCCTAGGGGACTTGGCTGCCTCAGGGCAAACATTGAAGATACTCATGAGACAATGGGAGAGTCTTCCATAGGGACATCAGTAATAGTTCATTGACCTATTATAGGTATAGAAGAGTAGGGTAAGGTCTAGCTTCTCATAAAGGCTTTGGTAATCGGAGGTTATTAATATAGTATTAGGCGGCAGCTAATTCTAAGTCAAGTGAATTGTAACTGCCAGTAGGGTCAATAAGGGTTTCTCCCTGAAAGTGGTCAAGAAAGCTCTAAACAAAAGTAGGTATCAAAGTATACCGAATATATTAATAAGATCTCTTCTCCATTCGCTGATAGTTCAAAAAAGCTAAGAAGGTACCTCAATATTTATATTTCACGTCTAGGTGGTTGTGGGCTACATCTATCTATTACTAGACAATATACCTTCTTTATTTCCTACTCCTTACTATGGTAATGGGGATCTGTTTGACCCTAACAAACTTTAGGTCTTGCTCAGACTATGATCTCCAGGCATTACCATGGTTCTGCAAGGGCGTTTGAAACCTCTCCAGTGAAAATGCACAATTCCTTCGTCTCAGAAGTTTAAGTATGAGTAAGTGGTCTTGCTACGAGCCAACTCATCATTCTCCTTACTCTGACTGGAGTAATCAGCTCCGTCAAGAGACTTATCAATATGTTATTGACTTTGCAACCTGACTGCATCAACTTTGAGGACTTTTTACTATGATCAGACTAGCTAATGTCGTGGGAAAGTCTCTTACCCACAAATAGGCCTCCAGTTGGCTCTATACTGTATGAGTACTAGACTGAGCCCTGTGCCTCGTCCATACAGGCACGTTCTGATAACTCATTGGACTGTTGGTGATTCTGTCCCAATACTTTCAGTCCATGTCTGAGGTGGTCAATCTCACTTAGCTCATAGCTCCATGGTTACCTGTCTGATTGACTCCATTTCACTTTTCAGACATGGCCTGTGGTTCCCTCTTATATATCCTACAAACAACTTCTGGTTAGACAGACAGCGATGATGTATGCAGTGTTATGAAGCATACTTTGTTTCAACTGGTTTATAATATAGCAACACCAAATTCCAACAACATTATTACTGTATACAGGCCTAAGGGCAAAGCCAAAGGGAGGTGTTGGTCATAGAATTCTTGCAGTTTTCAGGAGGTCTGTGCATGGGGGAGGTCTGTGCATTCATATGTATAACAGTGTATCCTCTCTCTCCTGAGAAGTATTACCTGCCTCGTTCGCTCATGGGTTACTGGCATCTCTCGCCTGTCTTCCCTCCTCCTCGCTTGTATGCCCACCCCTGGCCGAACAACTAGCTGGCCTGCCTTAGTATTGCACTGCCTCCGGGGTTGAGTTGGCTGGCCCTGTCCCGGTATTTCACCTGGGTCCTACTGTGGGCCGGACAGACAGACTCTATATCTGCAGACACCTGTTGAAGCACTTTGCAGATTTACTATTCTATTCTTTCCTTTGTCGTAAGAAGACTGAAGGACTTTCTTCCCTCTCTTGCCTTGCCTGTAGAGGACGATTCTTTCTGTATAGGGCGGGATACATGGTTAGACTCATACCAGAGGGTCTCGAGGGGTGGTTGTTTTGATCCCTGGGGCATGGTAGAATGCATCTGAAATTAAGATTTTGTTTTTACTATAGCTAGCGCTCCATGCACATTCTTGTATGATGCCATGTACCTAAAATGTGGACCAGGCTGTTGCATTTTTATAATACCTGAATGTAAATAGAGTCTGGGGTTGTAAATGTCAAAAATTAATTTCGAGGTTCTAAGTTCAATCCTTTATTAGATTGATATTTTTTACACATTCTGGAGGTTTTCTGATACATGTTGAAATAACTAATATTATATTTCCAATTTTTTATTTTACAAATTATTTACCCTCTGATGAGACTGATACTTCCCCTAAACATATAAATTTGATCTTTGATTTCTATTATAAGAGGAGATAGAGCTGGGCATAAGGAAAGATTACTCAGAAAAGATACAAAATAGTATTTTGATGGATTAAGATTAGCAAACAAGTATATAATTAATAATTACCAGTAAAAAAAAATATGGTTCTTTGTATAATAAAATAATACCATGTTCCTAAATTGAACTTAGAACCTCAAAATTAATTTTTGACATCTATAACCCTAGACCCTATTTATATTCAAGTATTACAAAAACGTAATGGCCTGGTCTATGTTTTAGGTGCATGGCACCATACGTTAACAACGAATATTTGAGATAAATAAAACAAAAAAAATTCCTAGCTATAAGTCTATCTCCCATGTCTGCTACACCTCTAGCAATTGAAAACTCAATCCTATGGTTCCTATTGTGGCTTTCATCATCTAGCACCACTACTCTCCCCCATCTCCCTCCATCTAGTCTCAGCTACAGGAGGTAGGCTCACTTCCCCTCTCCCTTGAGGTCTTGATTTGTTTCTTGATTCTCTCAGTTCCACCCCTAGTTAGGGTCCTTTATCTTCATGATATTTCTTTTCTTCCTACTCTGCCTCGCTTAGGCATTAGTACAGTCGGCAACCTCTTTACCACCAATAGCAGATGACCATAACTACAGTTTATAGTAGGAGAGAACAGCCTTCAGGCTTCAGTCGATCTCTCTATTCTCTTGCTTTCTGAAGAGGCTGCCTAGTCAGACACGAATGTAATAACTGATAGCTATTACCCACAGTGTTGGGTCTACCCCTTCTCTTCTCTTCAGGGCCTTTTTGGCTGGCAGGTGGTGGGATCCCTTCCACTACAGTGATACTATCTCTCCCAGAACAAAGGACTACATGAGAATTTAGTAAAATACCTGCTTCACTTAGTGCTCTTCTCTACGGTCAAATTAGCTGGCACCCTACTGCTGCCCCCTTTCAAGCTGGTACCTTACTGCCTCAATTATTGTTTGTCCCAGAGGATACATTGTCACTGGCACACCTGCCACATACCTCCTCTCCTCGCTTCTTGGTTGCTGCCTTCGAGGTGGTTTCCCTTATACCCTTTGTGTCTAAGGCTTTAGGTTCCTCCTCCTCAGGCTAGCCCTTATCATATAACCTGAGGGTTGCTAGTACATCTGGTTTTGAGTTGTAATTGTTGGCTCTTCAGGGTTTGGTTTAGGTTTCTGCCTTTAGGTGTTTTATTCTTAGAGTTGGGATGTGTTCTTGGTTTATTGTCAGGTAGTTTGCTTCCTTTTATCGCTTGGCGGTGGGAGTCATTGGGTAGCGCAGTTGATGGAAGGAATTATGGGTAGGAGTAGTTTTTTTCTACTCCAGAGGGTTTTTTTTATCTCTGTCATTCGGCCCAGGCCGGGGGGGGGCAGTTTTTTAAATGTCATAGCTAGGGCTTCATATGTCTTTTTGTCCCATAAACAAAATAATAAAATGAGTCAAACAAAAAAAAAAATCCCTAGCTATAAGTCTATTATCAGCAACCCAAGAAGAGATCTTATCAATATATTGGTTCAACTTTACTTCTATCTTTACCAGCCTTCTTAACTATCTCTGAGACAGAAGATTACAAGGCCTAGTGTATACTCACTTGACTTTAGAGTTACCTACCCCCTAACCCCTAGGGCCTCATTTTTCATTTCATAAACTGTCTGGCTGAGCTGTCCTAGCTATTGTAATACTAAAGTGGCAAATCCAGGTTCACTTACCATGGGTGACATAGCTAACTATGCTTGAGGAGACATAGTAGTATGCTGAGGTTATCCCCCCAACTGACTAGGTCGCCTTATAGTAAATGGGAAAGCCGAGGGGTGTGGTCTTGCAGAAAGTAATAAGTCAAGTGTGAAATTATGTTTATATTTGAGTAGTCACAGCATGCCCTGTCTATTTGCCTTAGGTTCCACCAAGCATACCAGCTACCACAATTAATTTTGACAGCCACGGTGTTGAATTTTTCTTTCGGCGAAGTTAGTACGCTTGCCTTGCTGTACTCGAGTATAACTCTGCTTGTGCCCTGGAGAGTATGGCAAACATGCACCGAGCGCCAGGGGGTTGTTACTTGCATACATATACTCACCACTCAATTGTAACTGACGTTGGCTGTGTGGTAAAATTTGGGCTCCCAGTTGGATGAAATAATTCTTATTGGCTGTAAGGAGATGGACGAGGTCAGCTTCCAAAGATCGAGGAGCAGAGCCAGTCCGGATGCGGGCTAGTAGATAATTGTACCCAGTAACCGCTCCGGATCATCGTTTTTCTCACCTTTTTTCCCTCACCCTTTCCGCTTCGACCGCCAACTTTGCCGCCCCGAGTGCTTGAGCACTTGCGCCACGCCTTAGGCTTCCACCACTCCTGCTATCACTCCTCCCTCCACCACACCTTACTCCTCCCACTCCCGGCGGTCTGGATATCCTCACTCTCACCCACTCGCTACGTCCCTTTTCCACCTCCACCCAACCCTCATCGACTGTCGAACCAGCACGGTGCACGCAACGCAGGAACCAAATGATATACTGGTACCCTATAATTTCATCCCCTACAAACTTCTAGAAGCCACCAAAAGCAAGTAAGATAAATTCTCGAAACGAAACAATCAAACAACACGGCACACGATTAGATCGAATAATTACCGTTTGCCTAAAGAGCCCATAACGCCAATTCTACCCTTTGTCTCCGCTCACTGGCCCGTTCCCCCTCAAACTCAGAAGTCGGTCTCCGCCTTTGTTATCCTACTCTCTATGCAAGCTTGTCGGGGCTCATCATAACTGTTTCCTTCTCGGTTCCCCCGTTTGAGTTTCTGGGATTCGGAGAGGCGGCCTCGCCGGGGCCTCGTCCTCCGTCTCACCATCGCCACTTTTGACTTCGTTACTCACGTCCCCCGGATCCTGTCTTCGTCGCGACGTCTGAAATGGACGACCCTTCACCTGATAATGGTCCTCATACTGGCAAATTAGCGCACCAGTACCATAGCCCATGGCGGCGGCAACATGAGGAAGCATTCGTGACGCCGGCTGTTACACCCGCTGAGAGTCCTGAGCGCAGGAGAAAAGGCAAATTTCCAGAGGGTGTAAAAACAGGCATTGATAGACCCATACCGAAAGAAAAGAACCTCATGAGCAAATCTTCCAACACCCAGACACTCCGTTGCGGGCATCAGTTTACTGTGGGAAATATTAGCAATGGTTTAATATATCTAAGGTAAATCTCCATTCGCCCAGTTTACCACGAGAAGCGGCATGGACCGAGATACGCGGGGGAATGCTCAAGACCGCACGATGGCATTCCTTCCTCCGCGAGGGAAAGGAAATACCCTTAGGTTTCTGGTCACGGGTTGCGGGCTGCGGCCGCTCCTAAGGCCAGTGTAGGAACATGTTGAACGTTAGCTGAAACCCTCTCTCTTCACAGACCTGTTGCCCGACCAGCGCGCGATCTACAACAGTTTACGCTACCACCTACAACTCCACCAAGTTCAGCAGAGGATCCGGAGGGCAAAAACTGGCAACAGGACCGCAGGAAATGCCGGAGCCAACAGCCGGGGAAACAATTACCTCCAACACCACCTCCGAAGACACCGCCTCGTAAACGTTCCGTACTTTCGGATGGGGACACACCGGATTCTTATATGAAATCATCACCTCCTATGCCGCGAACAAGGCATCAGCGCGCATACTCCTGCAGCACTGTCGGTGAAAATTTATCGCCTTACAAGCCACCAGATCTTGGTGGCTTTCGAATGAAAGTTGAGCAAGTTGACGGGCCAAGCGAAGAGCGCCCTCGGCCACGAACCGCCAGCCACCAGGAGACATGTCGGGCACTTGATGTACAAATCCCTGATTACAGTCTTGGCTCTCCTCACTTTTCCCCAAATGGAACACCCTTTCTTTATGGCGCCTCAAGTCTTCATGTGCCATCAATACAGGTGGAGCGAGGCTCTTCCCCTAGCCTTTCTCTCCAAGCTGATCTAAGATGGCTCTGGCCTGGGGTGGACGCAAGGTCATTCACAACTTCTCCAGTCCCATGTCGAGAGGCTTCTCCACCACCGTCCGAGCAGTTACCAGATAGCCAAATCCAACATACTGCGTCATCACTCTCTTTAGCAGGCATGTCTCGTCTACAAATATCTCCGGGAATGTATGATATCTTGTCTTTTCCACCGGGTTCTGAGGATCCTTCGGTTGTTCGATATGATAAACGCACCCAAGAAATCATAGCTGCTGTGCCAGCGAGGATAATATCTCAGATCACATCCGCGGAGTTTGTGGATTATCACCTTCTTTCCGACTTTTTTCTTACTTTCCGACTGTTCATGCGGCCATCCGATCTTGTTGCATATCTTGTTGCCCGGCTGTGGTGGGCTATCGATCGCGAAGACGATGTAGGGAGGGTGGTGCGTGTTCGGACGTTTGTTGCCATTAGGCACTGGCTTCTCAACTATTTTGCCGACGATTTCATTCCTTCACTGCCCTTGAGAGAGGATTTTGCGAAAGCTCTGAATAATCTGTCGAATGCAGTTTGTGAAAATGGTCAACTTTCCGATATAAAGATAATTCGCGAGCTGAAGAGGTGTTGGAGGAGGACGTGTGCTCTGTACTGGGATACGCCCACCCAGTCTGATGTGAGCACCGATCAAGACATTCTACCAGGTGGCCCGCCAGGGAGTAGATTCGACTCCGGTAAACCCCTGTCAACATTGCTACACCCTGGGAAATCTGCTCCTGGACTCGGAACGTTGCTCCCTGATCACAACACTAGTACGGAGGCATTTATTCAGGATGTGGTTGGGGCATCTGTGGCCGCGAGGACTACTGGTGGGACCCCACTTGGCAGTCTCTCCAGACCTGTCAGTAACCTCAGCAATGACTCAGCAATGACCCCGTCGCTCCCGCACTTTCCTCTAGAGAACAGCAACAAACCGACCCCAGCACTGTACACATGTCCACCTTTGATGCCAAAGCCATCTCAAACCACTATATCGTCAGATACAGCGGGATCAGTAGGGGAGGGTGGTAAGAAATATCGTCCTACTCCGCACAAAAGGTCGGGCTCATTTTCGGATGCCTTAAGAGACACCCGACAGCCTCTTCCACTCCCAAAATCAATTGCACGTTCGACGCATCTTCTAATGGCTTTACCCTATGCCGGCTCGTTGGTTAGAGGAAACTTATTTCCTCCAACACCAGCATACGTGCAAGTTGTGGCACCTTCCACACCAGTCAGTGAACTATCTGACTATGGATTCCTCGTTCCTTCCGACGTGGCCAGTGGTTCTGTGGCCACGCAATTTGCGAGGAAAACTTGTGACCCAAATCAGGGAAACAAGGCTCTACATGGCCCTGGTATGAAAAGATTTTTGGGTAGCGTGCGTAGAGCATTAAGCGGAAAAGTGGGAAATGGCGCCGGGCCCCATAGTGGTGGTGGTGGTGGTATGCGTCCACCACTTCCAACAGCCAGACCAGCTCGTGGCAGATCTCTTGGCTCAACACCCGACAGCTTATCACTATCCAAATTTATGGCTGCGAATTCATCAGGAAACAAGGTTGCTATGCTTGAAAACGGCAAGGCGGTGAGGATCGATCTACTGGGAGCAGGAGTGGTTGAAGCATTCCAACGCGCAATGCAAGAGGAATTTTCTAATAGCGATGCCGAGTGGATATCCTACGACGTCACGCAAGCTGAAGGAGAGAGAGGGAGCTCATTGCATAAAAACCAGATTCAATTGGACGGCGTTAGCGGTGATGGGTCACTATTGAGGGCCGGGCTCGAAAGCGCTTTGAGTGAGGATGGAAGCAATGCCCCGGAGCCTTTGGAAATTCCACCCACCTCAGTTGCAAGGCAGCCAAGTTTACGAGAAACTGTTGAGCAACTTCCGAATTTTGGACCAGCTGAATCGGCCGTTTCAGAAATTTCCGATATGGTGGGTGAAGCTGGCGGTATCCGCGGTCAGAAAAATTTGCCAGGTAGAGGTTTTCAGTCGTCTATATTTTCGGGAGAGTCTCGGCAAGCTCGGAGGAGCAAGTCTTTTTCATTCGAAAGAACACCATATTCGTTCAGTCAGCACTACGGCAGTATGCGTAGGAAGCCAAGCGCATCTCCACGTCCCGGAGCCGGAGGAAAGTCTTTACATTCGGCTCGCTCTTTCTCGGCTAAGCGTGCCCAGTCCGACTTTAGTCAATTTAGCAGTGCTATAGATGATAACTCGGAAACGTTCAGTTACATCAGCTCGCCAGGGACAAAGCGAGCAAACCTCCAGCCTGCCCGTATGCTGAGACGGAGGCCTGGTGGGGACTTGAGACTCGCAGCAACTGTGGGTGATCTTGATGGGCGACCGAGATCTGCTGGTTCTATAGGGACCGGCAATTTTTCTGATATTGGTGCTGCTGGGTCACCTTTACAACAAAGACCCAACTCGATTTGTGTGACTGAGAGTATATATCCGCAGCAACGAGTGCCGACGGGGATAATTTCGTTGGGAGCAGTCGCCAAGGGCGCAAGTGCCCCCATGGATGGCACGCTAGCTGATGGGAAAGCTGGCTGTTCGGAAGCCGATGCGAAAGCTTCGTTCGAAGCCGGGGTTCAAAAACTGAGGGACCTTCCTGATTTTGAAAGCGATGATGGCGGTATAGAGGTTGCATTGATGAAGCTCGAGGGCACCTATCAGAAGAGGGCATCCGATTTATCGCCTGGAAAGGAGAAGAATCCCACTATGAGTTTTGCATCCGGTCGATCATTTACCTCTCAAGACTCGTTAGTGATAGTTGGAGATGCGCACTCGGAGAGAACCTTTGGAATCGATACCTCTGTCGATGACGATGAATATATGAGGCGGATGAAGCGCAGGCATAAACAAGTGCTTGACCATGTTCCGCTTGATACGCCTCCTATCCTGGAGGGAGGCTCAGTTGGAAATTCCTCTGCGGGTGGCGCCGTGTTTAAGGACGAATCTGAAGCCTCAGGGCCCATTCTGGAGAGGGGCCTTTCTGTCAACCATTGGAACTTCCGTGGGACGGTGACTTCTTCAAATCTATCACTCCCTCCACTGGAGTGTGGAATGTCATCTGGTCCCTCCCCGATACACCGAGGCTTATCACCGCGCCCATCACCAAACGGAAGTGATCTACGCAAGATCGACACCGGGTTGGCAAAGTATCTAGACAAGAGTTCTAGTTCAGAGCAACTTAGGGATGATATAAGTGAGCTCTCGTCCGAGATATCATTTGAAATGGTTCACCCAGTCAATAAGAGCGCAACAAAGTTTCCTCCGATGCAACCTGGGACTATTATTGCAGAGCTTGGTATTCCTTCACATCCCTTGCGGCATCCTCCATCACCACCTCTCACTCTCGAGAAAACTCTGTCCACGTCACCCATTAACGCAAGTCCTTCGGCTGTCCGTCGGCCCCGTTCTCCCGTTAGCCCTCCTCGAGCGGAATTGTTTCCGCGATCAAGAGAGCTAGAGGGAGCGTCGCCAGATGCGATCCCTAGTGGTGACGGTCCTCATGATAAGGATGCGGAGCCAACCCTTCATCCCACTTCAACTCACTTGCCATTTATCCTTGCTTACGACTCGGGGTTGCTTGCGAAGCAATTTACTTTAATCGAAAAGGACGCGCTAATGGAAGTGGACTGGAAAGAGCTTGTTGAGTTGAAATGGAGTCAGACAAGCTCGACCGTGAGAGATTGGGTTGAATTCTTGAACTCTGAGGGTACAAGGGGTGTCGAAGTGGTGATTGCTAGGTTCAATTTGGTCTGTCACTCCAAGCTGCAACTTAAGGAAACCTTATTGACAAATATATAGATGTGTAAATGGGCTAGATCCGAAATCGTCATGACCAAAGATATTAACGAGCGGGCTAAGACCATAGTCAAGTTCATTCACATCGCCGCCCACGCAAGAAAACTTCAGAACTTCGCAACTATGTACCAAATCACAATCGCCCTTCTCACTGCCGATGTAACCCGACTTCGACAGACATGGTCCTTAGTCTCGCCCGCAGATCTGAGCACCTTTAAGGAGATGGAAGCACTCGTACAGCCAATACGCAATTTCCATAATCTACGAGCAGAAATGGATAAAGTTACTGGAGAGTCTGGGTGTATCCCATTCGTTGGTATTTGACCTTTCACTCATCACTTTCCCAACCAATCACTAACATCCCTCTCGGAATCTTCACCCATGACCTCATCCTGAACGCCCAGAGACCTCTGATAATCAGCACATCCCCGGACTCAGAACCCCTCATCAACTTTGAACGCCACCGCACAACCGCATCCATCGTGAAGCGCCTCCTTCGTCTTATCGAAGCATCACATAAATACGATTTTAAAGCCGTGGACGGCGTCTGTGAGAGATGTCTATGGATCGCATCGCTCACGGATGAGGAGATTAGAGACCTAAGCAAGAACTTGCAATAATGGACTATCTTCCTTTTTTCTTCCTCCGCGAGCTCCCCCCTCTTACCACTGCCATCAACACCATAGTCACGACTTTGCCACACCTGACATGAATTTCATCATTAGCTCTGATATTTTAAGAGGGCTTAATAATTGGGGCAAGTGGGATAAATATTGTTCGGGCTTTCTTTATTCTTCTCGTTTTTTCATTATACCACTTTTCTCAACTTTGTCCTATCTAAGATACCTTTCTACTTCTACTCTCGGATCCATGTTACCCCTTTCATTATTAACCGTCTATCCTAGCACTCTAATTTTTCTGTTTTATCCCGCTTCACACCCGGCGTTTGTTTTTAGTTGATTATTACGCACTTGGTTAATTTCTATTTCACTTTTTTGCCCTCCTCTCCTTTTTCTAATGCACGATCGCGGCCTTTCTCCCTTGCACCACTTCATCTTCCCCCCCTAAAAAGCACTTTTGAAGGTCCTGTCTCTTGGTCCGAATACAAGCATCTGTGCCCCGAACTGTCATGGTACATTTTTCGCCCTGATGGTTCCCACTATCGAAGTTGGCTATTAGTGTTTTTTTTTGTTTTTGTTTTTTTTTGGCAAAGTCTGTACTTGGATGTATGTATTTATTCTCTTATCTATCTACTTATTTTACTTTCTCAGATGGGGAGGGGAAATGGTAACTTTACAGGAAACGGGGGTTTCCTTTTTCTTTTTTTCTTTTCTTGTTCCTTTGTTTTTCTTTTCCTTTTTGTCTTTTATAGCTTTGTTTGGGTTTGGGCATGGACTTGGGTTTGGATTGGATTGAATTGGATTGAATTGGATGCTATGGTATTGTAGAGATATGGGATTTTTGCTCGGGTTTTTTTTTTTTTTGTTGAAATTCGGTGTATTGTAGCTTATTTGGTATGATAGGTTGGGTTAGGTTGCTAGCTGTAGCTTGGGCATGTTGAGCCTGAGAGTGGAGTTGGGCGTGATCAACGTACGGTGCGGGTCCTCCGTTGCAACCGATCGGTTTCGTGCCAAGAATTGCTGAGTAAGATGAAAATTTATTGATATACTGGCTTGAGGGAAAAGCTGGAAAACAGAAGACGAAGCAGAATGAGTACTCTTCCGTAAGTACATGAGCAGTAAAAGTGAGGTTGTTTTCTGCCCCTGATCACTTGCATTTGTCATTTGAAGAGTGTAGAGTGTATTTGACATTGCTGTTCTCTTGTAGGTACAGTCACTAGACAAAAGTCTTGGTGATGGCTTAGTCAGCAATGGCACATGAAAATGGAACACCCCCAAGCGAGCCCTTTCCCTTGACACTCCTCTTCTGACAACCACAATAATTCTTCCTGAAAAAGCTAGGATGCCACTCCAAGAAAGGTCAGATACTGCGGAAGGCATTATAGTTGGTCTTTTATATATCTTGTAAATTATTTCTACTAATGACAAGCCTGCTAGATTTCTTTTTGTTGGGTATCCAGGTCCTGTTTCCATGATTTACAGTTATTGATAATTCTATGTTTTCTTTTACAACTCTTCAAGTATAGATCTATGGATCTTATATCTTTAGTTTGCTGTCCTAGCTAGGGCTTCATGGATAGTATGAGTAATTATATCTGTAAGCTTTCCTGGAAATCTCTCAGCATTGGTATAGTGGATGATGACTGTTGTGATAGTAAATAAAGGGGGGGGTATCTAAAGTGCTAGTAGAATTTATGAGAGTTTATTCTTGGTTTATGATTTCTCTCTTTGCTATTAATTGATGATTTAATTTTTTTCCACTATTTCCCTACAGTAGCTATTTAGCTCATACAACACTGGTATCTACTGGTACCCACTCAATGAACAGACTTTGTCTCACCTAGAGCGATCACCAAGACTTTTGTCTAGTGACTGTAGTATAATTCTACCTGCTAACCGTGCCAAGGTTCCTGCCGATTGTGTAACAGCGCGCAGTTTCAAATCTCGCAGCACCTCTTCAAGGTGCCCGACAGCTCAATGCCAGATTTGGCTCAACACCAGATTTTGAAGATTTAGAGAACTACAAATACAATTTCTCAACCATTTCGAGAAATCTGCATTCTCTGTCTTTTCTGCTTTGTAATATATCTCCTCAACTCTTGAAATATGGGCTTCCATATTTTTTTCCGGTCCCGAATGGCTTTCTTTTTTGCCTGCTCGAGCTCCCACTCTGCTCTCGCTACCTTCTGCTGCGCAACCTCTTCCTCTTTTTTTACGTACAATTGCTCGTGCTTGATGCACATAAAGCACACCGCCCCTTTGGACTGACCGCCTTGTGCGATTCTGACAAGTTTCCCGAGCTTGTTCTGCTGCTTGGGTGTTTGCCAGCTCCTGATAGGCATGAGCTCCAGATTGCGCCTGGGTAAGACTACCCTTAATAAATCGATCAAGATTTGTCTTGAAGATTGGTGACACAGGATCTGCATCACTCAGATACTGGGCTTGCCGCTTAAGCGATCTAACAGTATAGGGTGTAGAGACTTGAAGAGGGGGCGGCGGTGTTGCTGGAGGAGAAGTAGTTGTGGCTGGGTGCTGTAAAGCGGTATGGCTCTCATAAAGACGCCTTAAAACTTTTGCTGGATTATATGGAACAAGGCCAGTCTTCCGAAATGCAGAGATGATTGTAGATTTCTTAAAGGCCTGTGATCGAATTGATGTAAGCGCTGATAGGAATTCAATCTTATTAAAGTCCGAACAGCCGGTACGGGTTGCGCAATCGATTGCCTCCACATGAAAGTGTTTCAATGGCTGAAAAACCACGACATCAAGGGGTTGAATTAGATGAGTAGTATGAGCTGGGAGACAAAACGGAATGATGTTCTTCTCATCACAGAATGTAATGAAGTCCTGTGTACAGTGTGACCCATGGCCATCAAGGAGGAGCATACGATATGCTCCTACTTTCTGCTGTACCGAAAATCGCTCAAAGTATTGTAGCCATTCTAACCTAAGCAGGTCATTTGAATAACCAGTATCCGAGACCGACAACAAAACATCGTCCTCGAGATCCGTTTTAGTTGCCCAATCTTCAAGGTGTATTTTACCGGCAAGAATCAACATCGGAGGGAGGACGTAACCATCGGCACTGATAACCTCACATGAGGTTACCAGTTCACGATTTGTGGAGCTCACTAAATACGATTGACGGTCAGGATCCAAAGTCACAATCCATTGGTCTCTTCCTATACCAATACAAAAGCTGGTCTCGTCGTAATTGTATAGGTCTTGTAGTTGTATTCCCTTCTCTTCATATACTGACTTGAAGCAACAAAACCAGTCAAGTATATCTTCTGGATTGTGAGCATTCATCCGCTTATAATCCAAAGTCTTTTGCTTTCTTACATGGAACTCAGGATACCTGAGAAGGAAGCGGGTTGTCCAAGCAGAGCTCACAGTAGGTGGAGGAGTTTCAGGATCGACGGGTTGATGATTTCTTCGGAGTATACTGTTGGCGCAATTAGTGATCATAGGAAGGCGTGCTGATGTTCCAATCTTATCCAATCGATGCAGATAGAGGCAAACTGCAAGCTCCTCCTTATCCGATTGTTTTCGGTTTGCTGCTGGTCTGTTAGCCTTCATTTGACGGCCATTCCATCTTGCTTGTAATCGAGTCTCCGGAACTTCAAACTCCCGTGCAGCAGCGGCGACATTCGGTTTTGTATATTCTGAAAGCTCCTCACATGCAAGCGCGATTCTGGCTTCAATCTCATCATAGCCTTCAGTTATTTTTGTCGGGTATTGATGGATGGAGTGGCTGATTCAAGAGGTTTAATGGAAAATCTGGCGTTGAACCGAATCTGGCGTTGAGCTGTCGGGCACCTCGAAGAGGTGCTGCGAGATTTGAAACTGCGCGCTGTTACACAATTGGCAGGAACCTTGGCACAGTTATTGGTTCTTATCATAACATAGTCATTTATACTTCACAGTATTTTCCAGTCTGTTACTAGGTAGATTCTATCACTTGTTTTACTCTCACCAAATTTTTCAAATTCTCAATCTTGAACTACTTTTTCGTACAACATTTATTAAACAAATAAAAATATAAGGCTTCCTCTCCCTTTGAGTAGCCTCCTCACCCACTTTTTTTTTTTTTGAAAATATTTGCTCTTATGATCAACTAGTTCAAGATCGCATTTGCCCTGTTTTGAGGACTCGGTTTGTGTCACTTTGCACCATACACTGCTCCCTATAATCGGGTTTTGAAGGAGTTTTGCGAATTTACAAACTTCCCGTGTTGCCCTGAACGATGGTGGGGAAGATGGAGTAGCCCTCCTCCCCTGTGCTTCGTTCTTTGCGCATTTGTCTGCGATACTGCACCAGTACTCAATAATGCGATCCGAGGTGATGCCATGCCAACGATAGAATACGAGTACCCACCAACAAAATCAAATAGACTCCAAAATTCAAGGGTTCAAAAAGATACAATAACCTCCCCCAACAACCAGATTAACCGAACCGTCTATAAACGAAAGACTGCCTTCTTCTCTCTCCCTTACTCTTCTTAGGCAGCAAGATGAGACAAGGGGAAAAAAACACCCAGATGAACCGCGAGAAAAAAAACAAAAAGAGACTCACAGCTTAGTAAGTTTAAAAGAGGATACCAGTGCCACTAGGGGCGAGGAGGCGAGATACAAAAGGTCACGTAACCTCGCAGCGTAAAGGAGGAAGAATGGAGGAAAAAGTAGAGCCCGTGATATAACAGTGAGAATAAAAGAGCAGACCTTACGCCTACACCTGAACCCATGCGTTATTGCATATCATCTCGCACCACCAGTACCGCTCCGTCTCGTTCATTCCAGCACCAGAGTGGGACGAGAGATAGGTAGGCGGTTCGTTAGTTAAAGTAGAGTATAGAGTGAAAAGGGAAGAAGAATCTGAAGTGCGAGTAAGAAAATTATGAGAATAGAGAAGAAGAAAAAAAAAGAGAAGAATACGATAGCGAGAAAGCCCAGTTATACAAATTACAATCGGAAGGTAAGGTAGGTTAAGGTGAGTTATTGTCACGGCTCGAATAATGAGAGTGTACTATTGAGTAGTAGGAGGAATCCGATCACGTGCCATGTCGTATTCCACGGGGTATCTAAGTTACAGTAAATTACATGAGCTCGTAAGTACCAAGAAGACCACGTGAGGGGTAGCATCGATCGGGTTTTGTGTTGGATGGATCGAGTGAGACATGGAGGACGGGTACGGGCTTTTATGGGATTGGATCGGATTGGATTTGGGGGGAGGCAGGTAACGTACTTTCTCTGGGTTTTCTGTTTAAGCACTCTGCAATGGAGGTGAAATATTAGCCCTTTCCGTTCTTGCCGGGTCCATTGATTGAGAGAATTGAGGGTGGGGTGAGCGTACTTGACTTTCCGATGCACGTAGTCCAGATCCGACTTTACTTCTTTGGCAACCTTCATGCCTTCCAGGAAGCACCGTCTTGTTTCTGCTAGCCGCGCTTGAGCTTCCTCCTGCAGGGCGATCAATTCTCGGGTTTTCGAGTTCAACATGCCGGAGCTATGATGACCTTGTCAGCACTTTCCCCTCCTCCCCCGAGTGAAGGAGTTAGTTAACAGAAGGTGACATACGTCTGGGCCTGCACTGCCAAACTCCGATCCAACTGCAGCGGGTCAAACGCACCAGCCAGCCTCTCCGTCAGCAGCGCAACGAGATCAACGTCTCCGTCCCCATTCTCCCCGTCCGCGCTGCCAGCATACGAGCTGCTGCTAATGCTCGACGTGCTCAGCGACGGCGGGCCGTGTGCGTACCCGGGGTAGCGAATTGGCGTTGCGTCGGCGATGCCAGGCGACGTGCTTGACGAAGACGACGAGTGGTGGTGGTGGTGTGGAATCTGTTTTGGTGGAACGCCGGGGTAGGAGGGTAGCGAGTAGCTGGGAGCTCGGGAGGTAGGAGCGTGGCGGTGGTGATGATGAAGGTCGCGGTCTTGTGGGTAGCTTGTGTAGCGGTCGTTCATGGCAACTTGCTCTGGCTCAAGGTGGTGGGGGACGGACTTTGCCTGTGCTTCAGCAGGTAAGTAATCGTAGATTTAGGTTAGGTAAAGTTACCGTGCTAGAGGCGTAGGTTCGCCCGGAGCAACGTAACGTATGTGTATGAACAGCGAGAGTGCCGAGCAAAAGCGAAGGGAAGGTAGAGCAAAAGCCAAAAGTCAAAAGTAAGATAAACGTGGACCCCTGGACCCCAAAGAAGAGCCTCAGAGTTTGAAAAGGGAATACAATGGGCAGCGCAAGAAGGAAAGAAGGAGAACCCGTTCCCCACAGGCGAATGGGGAGCGCTTGCCTTTTAGAATTTTCGGTGGTTCAGGTGTAGGTGAACGAACGGTTGGACCCGGAGTGGTCTCTACCAACAGGGCTTTGCTTTGGCGGTGGTGAGCAATTATCTCTTCTCTTGAAACCTGGCTCGACCACAAAGCGAAGCAAAGTAGAGCCGCCGCTAACAGAGTGGGTATGAGAGGGGAGTGTATGGAAGGGGAGGGCAGAGTGAGGTCTGCGATGAAATTGATATCCCGGCGTTTGTTCGCTCGTGAAAGTTTGATCTGAACAGCACACTGCACCCCTTTATCATTTTTCGATCCGGACCAACGTCTGTGCCCCTAGTCCGTGCACCAGAGTGCCATCATCATAGCGCTGTGTGGGGAAGAGGAAAGTGTGGGGCTGGATGGCGGTGGTGGTGGTAAGTGGTGATGGTGGTGATAGTGGTGGGGGTTTGCTTGCTATGCTTACCTGATTTTCACTGCTTGCTTGTCCGTCCGTCCCCCCCCCCCTTGCTGTCCGTTACAATCATCCGTGAGGAAAAAAAAAAGATTCTCCTTCTCCCTTCTGAGTTGGCAATCATTGTTTGCTTGCTTCCTCCTTCCTTGGATGCTCTGCTCACGGGGGTTGACTGGTGACGAACTTGTTCTATCATACAGGAAGTGTACGAGTACAGGACAGTACAGTACTTTGCAGCATCCATAGTGTGCGGCTAACTTTGCTGGACGGCTACCCTTCTGGTGCCCCTCTCTCTTTCTTGCTTTTCCTGTCCCATTCCCTCCCATCCGCGGGACCACGTCCAAATAGTCAAAAACAAGCGCCCCTATCCCAAAGATGTAATACTTGTACAAATTCTGCTTCCCTCACCTCAACAACTTGTTTCAAGACTTTATCCCCCCAGGATTGGCACCAGTCTGCGCAGGAATGAGCTGGCATTGCACGCAATTGACGAGTTCGTCGTTCCATTTGTTTGCCCGCCGCCCAATCCGCATTGTGTGGGGAAGGGTATATCGGGGGCACAAACATCTCCAGCCCGCCAGGCACCAGGACCAGGGATGGATTGATGATGCATGATAGGATATGATACCTGTGTGCCCGAGTACGTAGAGTGAGTGAGAGAGTGTGTGCAGGCACAATTTCTCACTTAACATACCGGTACCGTACTTGCCTATGCACTCCCATCCACTGTTTGCAGCAAGCTGTAAGTTGCCGTCAGCCCTGCGGCTGCAGACGGGGGGGGGATAACCGTCCAACTGGCCGTTGGTCTCACCCCCCGACCTCCCAACGTCCAAACGATTTGAGGGGTGCCGTTGGGCATGGGGACCGGTTACTGTACCGTGGTCAATCGATGGTCAATCGATGGTCAATCGATGCCCACCCCAGAACCAAACCTATGATAGCTCCTCCTCGATCCACTATGATACGGTATCATACCGGTACGGTACCTGTGCAGCACTGCGCTAGTACTGTACTTGTACTGAGCCCGAGCACGATACGGTATCGGTTTAGTACGACGAATACTCGTACATGTACCGTATCCTCCCCCAGAATCCTTGCATCTGCATCCGCTGGGAACAGCATGGCTCTCTAAAGAAGCAAACCAAGCCCGGAACTTCCCTTCCACCCTCCCCCTCCATCTGTAGTGCTGCTGCCCCTTCTGCGGTAACACATGGTCCCCCCCCCCGCCCGGAAAGTCCAAAACGAACAACAACGGTGACAGCGTAGACGACAACAATGACAACGGACAGGACAACACTTCACCACCACCACCACCACCACCATCATCATCATCATCATCACCATCACCCTCGTCATCATCAATCCTGTCCCTCCCCACCTTTCCCTCTCCTCCTCAACCTTCCTATTCCAATCTCTTTATAACCATCTCAACTCACCCTCACTCCAACTAACTCCATATTTATTCGGGCATAGTACCAGAATGGAACAACACATTCATCCATCCATGTTTGCTATTCCTTCCGCCAACCAACATATTACGAGATGGTGATGACAGTAGAAACGTATACACCCACCTTGGCGTGAGTTGAACGGGCATACTCGAGTGCATCGCTCTGGCCAATGACGGGTATAAGGCCTTCACTACATGCATGCTCGAAGAGCAGAACACTCGATGGACGCGGGGAAGAAGAAAGAAGGAGAAGAGAGGGTTTCCAAAAACCCGGTATTCGAGTACCACCTATCGGGCCTTCCGCCAGACTTTAGCAATTATTATATGCTCGCGTCGAGTGAAGCAGTCCTTGTCATCCTCCCTGCTCCGTCCGCGAGGCTGCATCAGATAGTGCTAGGCAGTGAATACTCGAACACCGGTACACTTGTCTACTCGTAGTGCCATCTACTGATGATACCGACTGATCAACCCACTACAATGCAATTGTACAGTAGAGAGGGAAAAAAAGCCGGTGCTCCATAAAAACACCCCTAGCGGGTGTCGGCGTAGGGTACCGGTATTGTGTGTATGCGCACGGTAGCTCTGCAAGTACTCGAGTACTCGAGTACCAGCGCCGTGATCCAGCAGCTTGAGAAAATTTTACAGTACTACAGTATGATATAGTACCGCGCTCCCCACTTCCTTACCATGAGTACTGTACCATAGTCCACCTCACCCACGCCATCATCCTCCAACCAACTAACCAACCAGAGCAAATCAAAAAGGTACGATATCCCGGTAATGATAGAGTCCAAAGGATGAGATCGCCAAGCCCGTGGTGCGCCCGCTTCCCTCTCCACTCGTGTCCCCTCCCTATCGCCTTATCGGCGCCTATCTCTCCCGCGTCGCTACATGATGCATGGTGAGAAATCAAAACTCGATTGATTTCTATGATATTGTACTCGTACTAGTACTACTCGTATACTCGTATCATACAAGCACCAGCGAATCCTATCACGGGACCTCAAACCGTGCCACATCGATGGTGCCTCACTGTGGGGTGCCGTGTCGTTACGGGGCCGGGTTGGATGGATAGTTTCGAATCAAACTCTCCTTCCCTCCCCTTTTCCTTTCGCCTTGCAAATGAGGCAGGCAGGCCCTGGCGGCACCGGACAAATAAAATAATTAATTAATTAATGCCACGACGGCCTGACAGTAATTATACATGTATTATATAACTACCGGTACTGTAAAAAAAAAGTCGTGGTGAGGACCGGGATGGGTGTTTGTTGTGCTTTTTTGCGCGTGAAGCTAATGTTCCGGGACTTGAGTGAAATGAGGCGGATGGGTGGGTGCGTTGAAATGTCGTCGCCCGCCCGTCTCCGATGGACCGACACCATGGAATATCACACAGTGTGATAAACTGATTCTTTGTATATAACGGAACCCGGGCCCTGGGATTGGTTACAGTACTGGGTGTACCGGTATGGCGCATGACCCACTTTTCTCTGTGAACCTACGGTGCCGGTAGACAGGTCGCAAACATTCCTCGTGGGGGAGGGGAGCTGGGAAGCCGGCCCCTTCCTTTGGATACAGCACGATGTCGTACTGCCCGTATGATATAACCTAACAGGGAGGTTCAATGCTCTCAGTACGCCTCGAACCAAGTACAGTACACAGTATACCCCGCAAATACAGGTGTATCATACTGATTGAATAAAATGATCGTGCCTTTCTGTACTACAGTAGTACTGGTATGCTGCATCCCTCCTCTCGAGGTTTTGCTGTGTACTTGTACTGTGATTTCCAAAAAAAAATACACTTCAACCGAAACACCTGTACTAGTACAGTACAGTACCTTCCGTGTATCATACCGAGAGCTTTGGACCTATCCCTAATAATAATATCATACTACCGGTATCATAATATTATACGAGTACTGTGGTATTATTTTTTGTAATTCTTTGGGTACGGTACAGTAACCTAAGGAGGAAAGTTCAACAACCTGAAGTCAGGTACCGGTATATCATAGCTACTTTTGGCGTGGTATGAGTGCGGTACGAGTACGGGTACTTGTACCATTACCGTATCCCATAGTCTGTTGAAAAAGTGGCCCACTTTTAGCGTTCCGGGGGGCAAGGGTGTTTATGCATTAGCGTGATGAAAATTGCTACAATACGGTAAATGTTGCTGCTAGAACCTTACCCTCATATGTCATGGTATCCAGAACCGCATTCTCCCCGGAGAGCGGGCCACTTTCAGTGCATACCTAGCTCCCCCCCCACCGGGTTACCCAGATATATTAACTAGGGTTTAGGTCTCAGGTATCAATCGACAGGTCCAAACGGTATAAATATGATGCTAGGCAAAATGGGTTACTGGGCTTCGTAGGCGTCCCGTTTTGATTAGTGCCCTTCTTGGAGTGGCCCACTACAATCTATGGGATAGTACGCTTACCCTACCCGTGATTCCTATCCCTACGATAACTTCATACGATACGATATCATACCAATCCGATGTAAATCAAGTTACCCGCTAATTTATGTATTTGATGAGGTTGACTCTCACTTCACTTCTTCTATCATACCTTCCACAATTTTCAATTTCTTTTTCCTTCAAATTCACGTCACGGGACTCTGACCGGATCCATCAACACAATGGACGACTCGGTACAGTGAGAGTAGTCTACCCTTTTACAGTATCTGACCACCATTCGACTACTGGCTGACAGTGACATTTTAGTAAAGGAATTCGCCAGCAAACCCTTTCTGGACCAGGGGCGACTGTTTTTTTTTGTGGGGGGGGGGGCTACTTTTCGCGATGGACATGATATAATATCCCTGTCTGACATGGCCGGTATCAGGAGAGTTGAAACAAACTGCCTGGGAGTTGGAAAGAAGAAAAAAACGAACAAACTGAGGTGAAACATTGAAAGGAAATTGAACAAGGCACAATGCATCGCAGCAAATGCGGTCCTTGTTACAATCGTGGATCCGGAAAAATGTAAAACAGGCAGCGGTGAGATTCCAAAGCTTTCTTGCATGTGTCAAAGGCGGGGGCGAGGGTTGAGTATAATAAGGTAGGGAGATAGATTGATTCCTGTTCATCCCGATTACTAGTGCTGATGGTTACTGGAGTAACAGCGGGTACAGTCGCATATCCCTATGATGGATCCCCCCCATGTGGGAAACCTCTCTACTCGTATCACGAACGAGTCCTCCGTGAATCTGCCCCCCCCTGCTCCTACACAAACGGTTCTCGCTATACCGGTAAGGCATTTTGTTCAAAACCTCGCTATAGCGAACGAAAAATCCCGAACTCTCAAGAGGCATTCGTTATAGCGAGGTGCAACTGTAGCGGGAAGGGTGAGCGCAGGCGGTTGATCGGTTGGTCCCGGGGGTTGGCTCGGAGGTGGTGGCAGGAGCAACGTCGTTATCAGAACGGTGTTAATTTATTTTAGTTGAACAAAGCGTGTTACGGTATTGTCCGGTAATGGACATACTGTACGATTTACTGGTGAGAGCATCCGTGACACGTGAGGGCCCGGTCGCAAATGAATGGAAACGCAGCAGTGAGGCATAAAGGATAGCTTAACCCCGGAAATGGCAAGTTGGGTAATAAACAAGGTCGGAAGACTGCGTTGAGCTCCCCACACAAACAAAGCCGAGTGAAGAGCAATGAAAAAGACAATTCCAACATGGGCTCCGTTCTTTGAACTTCCATAGACTTGAAAAGACACAAATGGAGAGAGAAGAGGAAACCAAGAGAAACCCATGCCCATTGAGCTTCGCACCAACTTGAAACAGGCAACGACACAAATTCGGCGATCCCTCTCTGAACTACCGGTAAACTGAAGTGAAATTCATCATGTGACCATATAAAGGCTTCGAGCTATGGCTAGATACTAGTTATTCGAACTCTAGGCTCGGGAGGGGTAAGAGGAATGCGAGCGCAAGATATCGTGATCTCGATGTCGCAGGAAGCACCTGTGAGCGAGCAAAGAAATGTAGGAGAAAAAGGAATAGGAACAGTGAAGAGACCAAATGGGGAGGGGAAAAAAAGAAAAGAAAATAGCGCCAAGCATTAGACGAGCCCATCGTAGAGGGATAGAGCAGAGACAATGGTTGCGTCCTTTTGGCTTCCTTCACGGAATTCAGCTAGGGTCAAGCTTCCGTTCTAAGCTCCTAGTTAGTTATATTGCTTAGCCCTAGAGTCCATGGAGATGTGTACCTCATCCTTATCCATCATCTTAAAAATCTTTGTAACTCTCTTTTGAGGTGTGTCCTCGTCCTCAGGAAGTTTTACCATAGATCCGACCTATGAGATCATTGATAGCGTTAGTTGCAAGTTCAGGGGGGAACAGGGTTCGGGGAGGAGAGTCTATTGTGGTTAGGATAGCCAACATGGATCTTGGCGCAGCAGTGAACGATCGGCTAACGCACTGTCAACCCACCATTTTATAGATAGCCTCCACAATCATCAACATCTCCTCGTAACTAATCTCTCCATCGCCATCAATATCGTAGAGCTGAAACGCCCAATTGAGCTTGTCCTCCAAGGATCCACGTGAGGTGACACTCAGAGCGACGATAAACTCCTTAAAATCAATCTGACCAGAGTTGTCCGCGTCAAACACCTTGAAGACATAGTCCGCAAAAGTAGTCGGGTCACCGAAGGGGAAAAACTGCTTGTAGATCTTCTGGAATTCGACTTTTCCAAGAGACCCAGTAGGGCAGTCCTTGAGGAAACCTGAAGGGAAGAAGAAAAATCATCAATCCGAGCTCGGGGGAGATGGCGATTTGGAGCGAAGGAGACTGATATTTCCCACTGGCTATCATAGCTACAGTAGGATGAAGGAATAAGAAATTGGGTGGGGAAGATGTTCCGACAAACCTTTGTACCATTGCTGAAGTTCCTTACGTTCGAAAAGTGTGGCCTTCTGCAACTCCTGCAACTGATCCTGAGTGAGCTTTGACTGACTGGAACACCAGACATCAGCAAATGAGCAAACGTGTAATATGGGCAAAATTAAGCCCATCACATGACCAGTATTGCGGGGCGAGTGGATCCATAACAGCCGCAGTGAGAATCCATGTAGCACAAGCAAAGGCAGACAAGACGGGAAGCAAACACTCACGTTTTACCCATCGCGAAACGCCGTTGCTAGAGGGAGGATGGGTGATGTTTGTCGTAGGGGGGAGGATTCCAGCAGCTGGCACAAGCTGTTACCGACTGGAAATCTAACCGGGGAGGTGATAGCGTCTGAGGTGGACCACTGCGTTGCGATTTCGAGGGGTTGGTGTCAGTGGCGGGATGGAGAATGGATGGATGAGGCAGGGAATGTTCGGTGTTTGCTTTCCGGATGGTCACTCGATGGCAGAGGACCGATGATGGAGTGTAGATAAATGCGGAGAGCCGGTCGCCGGGTAGCGAAAGGAAGGAAGGGGTGGCGGTAGAAGTGGACGTGCTGCAAGGGGGGGAGGATGGAGGTACTGTACGTACGGTGGAGAAAGGTTCAAGAGACAAAGCGGCTTGTATGAAGTCTGGTCTAGGGACGATGGGAGTCTGGTAACGGTAGAGGGTTAGGTGGAAGGCAGGAACCGGGGCCTGCTGGTGGTGGTATGGTATGATAGGCAGTGGTGGTGCGAGTGAGTTCGGGCTAAGATGGGAATAATGCTTTCTATCATACGGGGAGAGGGACGAGAAAGGAGAGGAGGGGGAGGGGTAAATGGCCTAATCCGCCTGCCGTCCGCGTTGCGACCCTGCACTGGAGGCTGCAGGAAAAAGAAGGGAAAAAAGAAAAACAGAATACGGTACGGTAATCAGGTTGCTATTTGCCCCTCTTCCTTCTCACCCTCATTTTCACCCTCTCCATCTCGATCGAGTTAACCACTCCTCCATCTAAGCTGTCTTTTACGCTCGTAGCTATCACGAAGGCTACGGTACAGTACCGGTACAAGCGACAACAGCCCACGGTATTCCTTGCATCTGTTACCCCTTATTCAAGCCAGTACCGTATATGTCGCAGAAGCCATACCCCCCCACCACACACACACCGCTTGCAGCCACCATAGTATTGACAAGAGGGCGCAGAGCTCAATTTCCCACGGGATAGCCTCAGCCCTGTGGGATTAGACGCCCGCCTGATGGCGCATACGATAGCATCATGATAAATGTAGGCACCGGATGCTCTGGCCTATCCTGTTCGTCCTGCTGCCCCATTCATCTGCTGCGCCACCCGTATCAAAGTTCACCGTCTAGATCAGATCCTGGTACCGTATAGTGCTAGAGCGGGTTTGGAACAAGTCCGAGCATTCCTGCGCCACCATCAAAAGTCATGCCAGGTGATGCAGAGGTATCCTGGCACAGTATAACGGCTCTTATTGCCTCGGTGCGCAGCACCAGTTGTTACGGCTTAGGAATAATTTCCGTTTTCAAATGATTGGGATCAAAATTTTGGACTATTAGAAGGACTAGTAATAAATACTCCAAAGTGAACCTGTAACAGTAGCTTCTGGCGGGGGATGTCCGAATATAGGGGTTTTCTCCTTTTTTTACGACATATTGAGGTCCTAACCCGCGTCACGTAATGGGGCTTTGGTAGCTGTTTTGTATGCCAGGTTCCGTACTAATTCTGCGGAGCAACTCAAGTGCGCAGAAGTACAGTGCCACATGATTCGGAATTCACATAGGCGCTTAGTTGGACTACCAGTACAAGTACTCGAGTACAGTAGAGGTCTGCCAGGAGGTCTTCGAGTCATCAGCGAACTGCCGGCACTCAAATAGCATCCTGGGTACCCCAAGCCTCGATCTTATCATATCCGCGGCCGAGGAGTTTCAACGAGTGAGATGCAATGATTTCACTCAATTGGGGGGAACCGCTTTCCACGGTGCCTGCGCTTCCTGGACTCTGGACGAATGGTCCCAACTTGAGCATTCCCAACCCTAACCCATACTAGCCTCAAACACCACTACGGGCACTGCACTGCACCATGCACCTCCAAACCCGAGCAACCCCCACAAAGCAACCTATTATAAGTTTGGTCTGCTGTAACACTAATCATGAACGCCATTGTCCAAAAATCTTTCGATAATCTCGAAACTTCGCTGGCAACTCTCATAGAATCAGTTGCATCCTACAATCCCTCCCCAGCTGCTGCACGCGCTGTAATTGCAGCGGACGACGGCCTGGTAGAGAGCCTTGATCAGCGTCCGTACCTAACGCCATTCCACCAGGATGAAGACAAAACTAACAGGACGGGGAGGCAGTCGGCGAGCACCAGCATGGCTACCAAAAGATTCTAGCCCTTCGCGAGGTGTCTGAAGCACTGGATAAGCAGTTGACGGAATTGCTTGAGGGGTTATCCGAGGCCAGGAAGGAGCTATCGAATGTTCCTGGGACGGTGTTTGAGGAATCGCATGGTGCTGTCAACCCCCCCCTCGCTTCGTCGCCATACTGACCGAGCTCCCCTCCCTGATATTATTAGAGGTCCCATATGACGAGCTCCTAACCTACGCTCGCAAAATCTCTAAATATACCCGCCCCCCGCAATCGTCAAAGTTCACACAAGCCGACGCTAGCGGTAGCGGCCGTGATAAGCCAGAGCAGAATGACGGCGAGGCCTCCCAGCAATCGCAGAGATCGCTCCCGCTGGGACTTTCGGAAGAGGACGTTTCGGCGCTTGACCCATCGTCGCAGCTGCAGTTCACGCCGTGGCCGAGCGAGGAGGTGATGAAGCGTGGGGCGCTCTCGCAGATGGGGTATGAGGAGGAACTGAAAGCCAAAGGGTTACCGTTGCCGGTTATGGCTCCTGTTGCGAATGGCCAGAGGCAAGGGGATAATCGGGGCCCAGTGGAGAGTTCGATGGAGACCACCGTAGTGGCGCCAGTGCAGGTTGCTGCTGCGCAGAACCACCGGCCGGCTCAGAAGGTGGAATTGGATTTGTTTAACCCTGATGATGAATGAAGCATGCGCGGGGAGGGGGGTTTGATTGTCCGCTTTTGTGCAGCAAATAATTGAGCTAGTTCGAACTTATTATTTGTCCACCATCACTTATTCCCGGCGGCATGTTGATATCCACAACTCCGGCGCTGCTACTGAATGTGCTGGGTAGTAAACTCCATGATAAACGAGCCCTAATTCTGGTGAAAAAAGATAAACTTCACACGTATCTTTAGGGGGACAAAAGCTCTCGACAATACGGTACCACCCCATGACCCGAAACGCGCCGTGGCGAGAAACAATAGTCAACTGTATCAAGGGAAGCGCCGGGCATCGATAGCTATAGTACAAAGGGGTGCACAACTTATAGGATAGAAGCCCGTTGGCCGCATCACGAGGGCTATGGACGCAGTTTGTCGTAACGCATCCATCGTTAATCTGAGTGCCCCACGGCACTGTCCTTGAATGATATGCCGTAAAACTGTAAACGCGAGGGGAGATTGCATTATGTTTTTCTGGGACGGTACGACGATTTGTCACCATTTCCTCCGTAATGGGTATTGGGATAATATACCGTGCTCATGGTTTGACCGGTTAGAAACGCTAAAGCCAAGCTCTTACAGAGGCGTACAGTAGAGTAGAGTATGGATGATACAAGGTTGTTATGTTATGAAATATGATTCGATGGAATGCCAAAAAAAAGGATAGCAATCGGCTGGCTCTGGGAAGACTTGCTCATTAGTTTGTGGTTCTCCGACTATACCTGTGGATGATGTCCTCCCGGCGGGTGTAGAGATGTGCGTGCGGACATTAGGGAGGGTAGAATATGAACGGATCTTCAGAGGGAATCGCGGGGAGTGGCTTGGGGGGGGAGGGACCGATGTTCCATTTATACGGACTCCGGGAGGTGTAGGAAGGCTGTGTACTAAGGCTGTCTGGATCACCAGTCTTGCATCGACAGACTACGCGGAAGGCGCTGGCGATAGTAGGTGGAGGATAGTGGGGCTGCCTCGATAAAAGTTCGTATCTAAATCATCATTGGGTCAATTCTACGGAGGCTTGCTAGGCACATGAAAGCCGGAGCTTTGCTTTGAGTGGTGAGTCTCGGGGTTAACACGGGACATGGGCCCGTACAGAGATTCCAACAAACCCAACGAACTGAATGATATTCAGTGATTACACACCTGATTTCAGTAAGGTGTATTTATCCCACCGAAAAAGTCCCCAAAGAAGCGCCTTTTATTGCTTGAAATAAAAAAGGAGAAAAGAGAAAACATAGACAAAAGGGACCGTCTAATGCACATGCTTTTTCGACATCCCCTTATAAAATATCGCCGTCATAACCATCCCCAACGCCGCGCACCCAGCTCCAAAGAACCATGCGGCCCTGAAGCCTTGCAACATCTTCGTCCCATCCGGGTTAACCCTCTTCTCGATATTTACGGCGAGAGACAAGCCCATGGCGATACTATAATTAATAATGGTACTAACAAATGAACCTGCAACACCCTGCTGCTCTGGTTTGAGCGTATCGGAGGCTATAAGCGACCCGCAGGCAAAGGAGAGATCTGGTCCGAATGTGATCACTAAGACCGCTGGAAATGACATTTGCCAGTAGGTTTGGCCGACGGGGGTGAGTGCGCAGAGGAGTTGACCGAGGAAGAAGCATAGCATGGAAAGACCGAATATTATGCAACCGGGGACTCTGGAGAGAAGGTAGACGGCGGAGAGCGTAGCAATGATGCCGGTTGGAACTGTTGGGAAGACATGTAGCGTTGCCTGAAGGCCGGACTCTCCGCGGAATTCCATTAGACTGGAATGGATTAGTGTGCGAGAAGAGGGCAAAAAGAGAGGGGGGGAAGGGGTTAACAAATGCGGGAAGTAGAATTGAAACATCCCAAAACTCATCCAGCCCAGACAGAGACTGACTGCAACAGCCACGAAAGTTGGGCTGTTGAACAAGCTCATGGGGAGAATGGGTTCATTAACTTTGGTCTCGATCCAGCAGAAGAGTGCAAGAGAGAGCACTCCGACCCCAAGCATGATCCCACACTTCGGCTGATCCCATCCAAAGGTTGGCCCACCACTTAATCACAGTCAGTCACCAACTTACCCAGCACTACCGGATCCTTGGCGAACGAAACTAACTTCAATGCAATAAATATCAAAGCCAGTCCGGCAACCCCGGTAACACTTCCAGGAACATCGAACCCCATACTATGGAAGTCGTTCATCCCGCCCGTCTCGGGAACCACCCACCAACTGGCGGCAGCATAGAACGCTGTGACGATTGCCATACTCCAGTAAATCCATTCCCACCGCGCGCCCGTTTCCGTGACGCCCGCGCCCCACCCCGCGCCCATGACGAAACCCACCGGTGCAATTGCTCCGAAGACTACGAATGCGAGATTCTTCTTCCATTGTTGGTTCCAGGCTCGGGCTAGGAGGGCGGCCGCGTTGGGCATCATTATAGACGGCCCTATACCGACCATTGCGCGGAAAATGTCGAATTGTATCTCGTCCTTTGCAAATCCAGAGGCTGTTGACCAGACCGCTGTCCAGAGCCAACCAATCAGGAACATATTCTTGTGACCGTAGATGTCCCCCAGTCGACCGGTTATCAGGACGAAGCCACCGACAGTGCATCTGAGAAATTAGCGAAATTCAATGGCTACCTATCTTTGTGGGGATGGTCGAAGCCAACGAGTAACTAGCAGCAAACCAACTCTGCCTGGCGCTCTCATCCGGGGGAACTCCTAGCCCTTCAGCAATGTATCGTATAGGCACGATCGTGTTCCCCAAATTGGCTTGCTATAGTACTTGATATGTCAATAATACTAAAACCGACGAAAGGAAAAGAGAAGAATACCGTTATCCAATGCGCCGAGGTGACCACCCAGACAAATACGATCTCGTGAAATCCATTCCGGAAATTACCCCGCGAAACCCTCTCCAATTCCTCCGGCCCCGAGATTTGAGACTGTGAGCTATCCACGCTTGAAAATTGGCCATGTTCGAGGTCTTTTTCCGCACCCATTCTCAGCAGTTTGAGGGGGCAGGAAAGGAGAAAAGGGGAACAGGTGCGGTTTAATTCAGAAGATGGTCAAATTTGCACGGAAAACGAGCGGGAAGGAGGGAGAGGGGCCTCTCTAGGTATCTAATTTACATGCAAACATGGGGAAGGCAGTGTGGGAGGATCGAGTTTACTCGAGTATACCTGCGAAAGACTCTCTTGCACTTGGCACTTGCACTTATCAGCTAGATCGACGGGTCGCCGAGTCATTTCCCTCCTTCCTTCCTCCCTCTCAACTGGTTGCAGGGATCTGCACTCATAGGGCCGAGTTCTCAGCATGGCTTGTCAAACATTTTAACCCCGAATAATTCTAGAATCCCTATGCATGTAAGCGTGAGGGGATTCTTCAAAGATGGGCAAGCAAGCCCTATGTCTCCGATTCTACGGTGGGTTAGTGTGCACCGGCTCGTGTGTCTAGCGCATTGGGGGGACCCCACCGCTTGTAAAGTGTGATACTGTGCGGTAGGGCTTATGGCGATATAGATATTGCATTGTAATAAATTTACTCTCTGTGTTGCAGGGGTGTCTCGGAGTGCTCGTAAACTTATGCTAGCCGAGCGCTGTAGTAGACCGGAACTAACTTGCCGGTATTAGTCGCGGCACGAGTGTACTTGAGTAGAGTGGGGTAGATACAGTACTGTACCGTACTCGTACACTACGAGGCAACTTCAAAATTACGGCTGTAGGAAACGAACAAAATCTTCAAATAAATACCTCCAACTCCGGGCCTTATGATATATCTAAATTCGAATGCGGTGAGTGTCGGCGTTATCAGCACTTGAACCCGGGTTGCAAAGGCATGTCGCTCAATGCAACCACCAGAGCTCTACCGGTAGTCTACCGGATGGAATGGAAACTTTTTGGTCATTTCCCACGTTCAGCTTTGGCATGGGATAACCGGGGGATTGCTTTCTCATCTCCTGCGGTATGATACCCGCTGCAATAGGGAAGGCGAACCGTGCACTCGGGATTTCCCTGGGCACGAGGCGCTGAGCCCGAGAGGTGCCACAGATATCGGGGGACGGGCAGCTCATGGTCAGGCACAGGCTCTACTCGCTTCCGATCTTTCTGATATACTGGTACCGGTGGTTTCTCGGGTGGATCAGTCGGGAAAGCGCTGCATGGGAGGGTAGGCCCAGGCCCAGTGCCGGAACAGTGCTTGTGTTTGAGGATCGTTGGCCAATGACTTGCCGGTTCTTGGGTGCCGGTGAAATGGTATCTCATTGGAGCATTACGCGCTCTGGGTATCAGAAACCGATATATACGGGCCGTTGAGCTTCTAGAAACCCACAATGATACGGGTAGAATAGAATACATAAAGTGGTGGAGGGGGGAAAAGAAGAAAGAGGAAACGGGCAGTGATATATCTTTCGCTGGTCCCGGGCCCAGAATGTAGCGAATAAAGAACGCCAAAACACCAGATATCCCTTGGAACAAAAGAGTACAAGACAACCCCTTCAGCCTTTGAACCCAATGGGCTTGACTCCACTGAGACGCACCACGCTACCACCGCCGCCACCACCGGCCGAGGCCATGTGGGTACTGAAAGGGCCTCCTTCGTAGTCTGATTCCATCACGTCTTCCTCAGGAAACCTTTCCTCCCGGTAGAGCTCGGCAACAGGTGGGAACGCATCGGACTTGCCCAGAACAAGTACGGGCCCTGAAGATTGACGCGCAATGTATCCTTTGATAAATCCCTGATCCAGCAAACTTATAATGGTGCATTCCACATCCACCGTTGCTAACCGTAGTCCAAAATAACTTGTTTCGTCGTCCCCGAGATCTGAGTCCGTGTCTGAATCCTCGTCGCGATGGAAACCCTCTCCGAGGAAAAGAGGATTGTCAACCCGCTCTGGGCCGTGAAGAAATCTTGCTAGTATTAAAATATGTCTCATGTCGAGCGTGGGCGGTCCTTTCTTTCTCATCCCGGTTTGCTCAGAGCGAGTGAGCAAAAAGGCGCGTCGCACAAGGCCTCTCCATAGCAGTATTTGACATCTGAGTTTAAGTGTCAGGTACAGCTCTGTCCGAATCCAAAACCGCTTTCTGCCAGACTCAGGGCCCTCGTCGCCCAACGCACGCCGGAATCCCCGAAAGTCCCCTAGACGTATCGCGTGACAGATGGGAAGAAACATGCCCCCCAAACCTGCACATTCGGGTCTTGCCAGTAGCGCGTCTGATGGAAATTTGCCGAGTATTATGGCAGCTGCGATCATGTAGCGCGCGATTAGTTTTCGTTGTTTGTGATCTCGCGGTCGGGCCAGCACATAGGCACGCTCGAGAGTGGTGAGAGCATTCATGAACTGATCTGCATAGAAATAGTGGCGGCCATGGTAGTAGTTGTATGCACACTGCTCAGACTTCGGATATAAGTCTAAATAGGACGGAATCGAGGCGGTTTTGATGTTTGAATGGATTGTAGCACAGAGACGAATTTGGTTCAACTTTGAAAATGGTCAGCGAAATACCACAGCATAGAGTGAGAGCGGCTGGGGGGCAAGAGGCATGTCACCTTGAAGTAGAGCTTAAAAAGGTCATTGGCAAGTCGTACTGTTGCGGCCTTCTTTCCAATGGTCCGCAATGTCGGCGCAGTGGCCGTTGCAGCCGTACGTTCGCCAAGTGTGGAGTTGAAGGAACGCAGGAGTACGTTCATCGCGGCTTCGGAGCACGGACAGCGAGGGTTCCGGGACAGAGCATCTATTCGAAGTGCGGAGGAGGCGAACAACGCAGATGCGGCCTTAATCACGGTGACAAAGATGGTTCCCTGGACAGAGTTGAAGACCGGATTGAGCACCCTTCCAAACATGTGAGAATCAGGAGTGTCGAGTGGGGAGAGAAGAATCGCTATACCCCATGAATTCCTTGAGATTGGAGAACCAGCCGAGCATGTCCTCAATGCTTGAGTTTATCTTAGAATGTACGGACTTAACATAGTCCAAGTAAGCCACGATAACGTCGACGAACCCAGGCCAATCCTGAGCAAGCACTCCTTCGACCGAATCCCGGTGATTGTAGCCCCGAAGCTCAGTCATCAAAGTGATCATCGGCGGGCTATTCAAAAGTGAGGCTGGCGAGAGCAATAGACAGCGACTAAGCTGCTCATGGTTTTGGTGGATTCGGGAATTGGAAACGATATCAAGGAATTGTGCTAAAAGCGGAGGTGGGGAGGGAGGAGGCATCTCAGGCGGGATAGCAAAACGTCGGTGTTGGTGAGGGACCGTATTGTGAAGGACTAGAAAGAGGAGGGTAGAGTAGAGGGGGTGGGAGGAAGGTAGTCTAAGCGGTTGGGTTCCTGTACTACCGGTTTTCAAAAGTATCCGGATGCCTTGGCACCAAGCCAGGCGAAAATAAATGCCAAGGCATCCGAATACTTTTGAAAACCGGTAGCACAGTACTCAGGTGTTAGGGTATCTTGCGCGTGGTGGAACAAGTTGCCTCCCCTGCGACCGCCCCCCCCCTTTTTAATTTTTTTTTGCCTGATTAGTAGCCACTCGTGCCAAGGTTGCGGTGAGCGGCCACAACCCCAGCATTTCGCAAGCTCATACGGTAATCCAGTACACTAAAGAGTACCTGACAGCTTAATACAACTTTACGGCTCAAGAAAACTTCTTGGCACACCATAGTAACTTTGTGGCTCAACACTATTTTGTATCATAACAGTGGAAATTTAGGGCTGAACTCTATCACATAACCAAATGGAGCTATGGAGCTGTATAAGGTATAGTTCCGGAAGACTAGACTCTATACCAGTTTGGCCACAAAAAGTGTGACAATTTTGCCTGTAATGCCAAGTATAACACCAAAAAAGTGTAGCCCTAGAACCTAATTTGCCAAGTGTATATACTTTAATTCTGTGAATATAATTTCATAATATTATCATAGTTGTATTCTTTTCATAGTTAATTGTTTCTATTCCAACTCTGAACATTTCTCATACACAAACCCTGCTGGTAAGTTGCCTATACCTACTTTCTATCGTTATTACTTCCTTTGTCTGCAAGTTTAACTTTAAAGTGTCTTTACAGGTAACTCTCCAGATGGTCTCAACTAAGTTTAATAGATGAACTAAGTATGAATTCAGAAGGTGAAAAAGAGAACAGGTGGACTGCAATATATGAGCATGTTCAGAAATACTACACTGCCCATGTAACGGGGGCTCCCTCAGGTAGATAGTTTCTAAGGATGTGACTGCACTAAACTTCAAATCTCTTGAACACAGCTCTTGCAAAGTGTAAAGAATAAAAGTAAAACAGTAAAACTTAATATTGTTAAGCTCAGGCTTATCTCAATTAAAGTCTCTCCAGAGGATGTTGATTGTGTTAGAGTAGGAGAGTTCTCGTATAATCTTTAAGTAGTCAGACTTATACAAAAAACTCCTCCATTAGGTTACCCTGACCAACATGAGTATGCTCTTCTCTGTAAGGGTTGCCTGGCACTATTACCGTGTCCCTGAAAGGTCTAAGGTGTTAGTGCACTCTATTAGAAATCTCCTATATGCACATCAGTTCGTGTGAGATGTTTACCAATACACTTGCTGGAGTGAAAACTTCTACGCATCGAAGTCTCTCCAGTGGCTAACTGTCGAAATGCCTAGGAAAGCTAACTAAATGGCTCTCTTCCCATGTGCTATGACCTATGCAAGCCCCCATAGACATCAGCTGTCTTCTGGTTAAGTTCTATCTATCTTGACTGTGTACTTAAAAGATCTATGATGCTTTTGTAGAGAGCTGTGGTGGCGGCAAGACCTGTGGGTGCTACCCATCCTCCCTTACTACCAGCACACAACTCACCATGATAAGTATCATGCTAATAGAGTCCTCAAACAACCCACAAAGAGCCTATGGCAAAGGGGCATGTGTAGGGATGATTGGTATAAAATCTTCTCAGATGTCTCTGGCACAACCCGGGAGAACTCTGGGGACCCTTCTGGATAGCTCACGCTAACTCCATCAGCTTTTGTCTGTTTTACTCCATTCTTTATGGAGAAGGTACTTGACCTTCTTACTTTGGCCCCCTTATATATTCTGTGAACAGCTTTCAGTCGGACAGACAGCAGCGACGTATGCAGTATTATGAACATGTCTTCATAGACTCCATTTAACTAGTAAGATAGCAACTCCACCCATTTTGACCCATGACCCCTGGGGCAAACCCTGGGGCCCCAGGTACCTGTTAGGAATAATTCTGTCAAGTTACTGCTTGTTTGGAGCACTATAGCTCCTCCTGTAGATTTCTGATTAGTATGCAAGCAAGTGCTTGTCAATCATCATTGTGTAACCAATAATCCTACAGTGCCTCGTTAGAAGTTTTCATGATCTGAGACATGTTTAATTGCGGTTGCGCCATGGGACCGGTGGGGTTGTCAACGGCGCACACCCAGACTGTGAGCACGATCAATCCTTAACAATCAACCCTCAACGATCAATAGTTAATTATCAATGAACTCCTATTTATATTTTAGAGGAACAAAATAATAAATAAAACTAGCTAATACTTTGTATAACCACCCCTTGCTTCCAATACTGCAGCTACTCTATCAGGCATTGTTTTCCACAACTTTTCAAAAAACTCCTCAGGAATTGTCTCCCAAACCAAAGGTAACACTTGTGCAAGTCTCTTCTTAACGGCTTCTTTTCCTCCTGGGGTATCTCCAATCCTTGGATACTGCTAGTGCAATCGCTTTTTAAGCTCAACCCATACATGCTCAATAGGATTTAAATCAGGCGAGTATGGGGGATGGTCCACCAATTCAATACAATTCCTCTCAAACCAAGCCATAACACTATAGGCCTTGTGAACAGGAGCATTGTCTTGCTGAAAAAAAATATCTTCAAGTTGCATACCAAAGGAAATCATCTGATAAATAACAGGAAAAAGATGTCTTCTCAAGAGTCTAACATACCTGGTCTTATTGACATTTTGGGTGATAGGAACCAAGGAACCTTTTCTCTTCCCCCAAAAGCACCCCCATACCATTAGTGAAATTCCCTTATCCTTTTCCTTTGGATGAACACAATCTGCTAGCCACTGCTCCCCAGGTTCTCTGAAAACACACTGCTGCCTAGGATCCTTGGATTTCTCCACACTGCACTCATCACTCCAAATAACTCTCTCAAAATCCTCAGCAGTCCAATCCTTATGAGTCTTAGCCCAGTCTAATCTTTTAGTAATGTGCACAGGCTTGAGCTTTGGTCTTGCTTTGGCTAGCCATTTCTTGATATTGGCTTCTCTGAGTATTCTATCAACTATAAATTTGTTAGAGAATCATATCCTATTACTCAAATAAGTACAAGGAAGTGGGTGTTACCAGTAGAGAGAGAAATACCTGGCGCATAATGATCCCTGAAATCTGATCTGGTCATTTTCCGGTTGGATTTGGCTGCCTGGATGATTGTGCGACGCTGTCGCTGGCTAACTTGAAGAGTTGGTGTGCGACTGGGGTGAGGGAGATTATCCAGTAATTGGTGCTCACATGCACGAGTGAGGAAGCTTTTAATAGTTGTCTGTCACGGCCACCCGACTATGGAGACGGAATATGCATGGGTTCTTCGTTGCATATATTGGTTGTGGTTTTCTTGGTTGTATGGTTGGGTTTCCTTTATATGAACGATTGGGATGTGTTGCCGCGCAACGGAAGATAGCGGAACCAGATAGAAGAATCGTGGCTGCGCACGACGCCAAGGATTTCCCTTTTGTCTTAGTGATCATGGAGGATTTTCTTAGTATATAAAGGGGTGTGCCCCTTTATATTTTACTTTCTTTACGCAATCTGGTAATTTCCTTCAGACACCTGTACCTAGGAATTACACTCTCTACTATCTGGCATCCTCTTGAATCCCTGAACCCTGGCCCTGAACCCCTGAACCCCGAACCTCGTACAACTCGCTTCGGTTGTACCCCCGCACCAAGACCTTGTCTCCAGATTCTTGCCTGTCCTGATCGTGGTATGCCTTGGGCTACCCGACCCTCAGACCCTGTCCATTACATTGTCCATGGCCGGCCAATAATTTGAGCAACAAGAGCAATATTCCGGAGGCAGTAGAAAAATCCAATAGTCATGCCTTTTTCAACATTGGTCATTTCTGTTCTAGAGGTCTTTGGAGTTCGCTTTTTTTTTTGATGTATATCCAGTTCGGTTAACCATTGAAAATAATGCAGGACTAGGATATGATTATTAAAATAGACTCAGAGGAAGTAGTACTATTGTGATATAGCGGAGGTATGGTTACGGTAGGTACGGTCGCGATCAACGGCGAGGTGGCATTTGGCGAGGTTGCTTAGTAAGGCATGTTTCACAAACACTTCTGACGAGGCACTGTAATATTTCCTGGAATTCCTTCGAGAATAATTCTGATGGAATATAGGGTAATAGTGTCCCAAAGGTAGGGTAAGTATGTCTATAGTGACATGAAACTGGTCTCTATACTAGGGTGGCGTGACTCTCCTAGACAGGGTAAACTCATCAGGCCTTTCGACTGTCATGGCCACCCAGCCATGGAGACGGAATATGCATGGAGGGCTTCGGCTCAGTTATTAGTGGTGGATTTTGTGGTTGCTATGTGAGGGATTTTCTTTGTACGATGATTGGGATGTATTGCCGCCCAATGGAACTTGGTGGAACTTAATGGAGACATCATGGCTGCACCCGATGCCAAGGGTTTTCTTTTGTATCAGTGATCGGGGAGGATTTCTTTCTATATAAGGGGGTGTACCCTCTTATACTTTATGTTCTTTACGTAATCTGGTAATCTCCTGCGGACACTCTTTCTTACATGCTAGGGATATTCCTTTACCTCTTGAAGTTTTTTTAGCTTGGTTATTTATTTTGCACTTTGTTTATTTATTTTGTTTCGCATCACTTGAAACATCTTAACTTCCCTCCTCCCCTCGCTTAGGGTTGAGTTGGTGTACGCTACCTAGCCTTGCAGGCATTCAGGATGAGATATCTGTGGTTTAAGCCTGGTAGTCCCTAGTGCAGTCGGGTGGGGAGACATGTCCTCTCCCTCCCATTCTCCTCAGGCTTCGGCCTTATCGTTCGAGGTTATATCGTCTATGATTTCAGATGCTGATCCTTCCCCCTTTACCTTGGGCATGCACTGGGTTATCCTTGACGTCGCGGTCCCAGTTCACGATGCTGTGAGGCACCACCACGGCCTTATTGAATTTGAGATACGGTCCTACCGTGCTCCGGGAAGTGACTACAAGTTTCTCTCGTTTGATTATGACTTTGGTTGCATCAACGCCGTTAACAAGACGTTTGAC